TTTTTTTTTTTTTTTTTGGCTGCGACAGAAAGATAGGGTTTTGACAAGTGAAAGGTCGCCTCTTAAACAAAGAGAATGAAAGGTTAATGAATACATTTAGCATTTAAGGCTAGGTAGATATACATCAACTCAACAACTAAATGAGGAAGCATGCAAATCGTCATTGTCTTTTAGGTGTAAAAGCAGACAATCAATCAATGCGGTGCGTAACTTATGCGAACAATATGCGAAGCATTTTCGATTTGGATATGCGGTGTAGATACTCAATCAATGCGGTGCGTAACGTATGCGAATAATATGCGAAGCACTTTCGATTTTGATATGCGGTGCAGACAATCAATCAATGCGGTGCGTAACGTATGCGAATAATATGCGAAGCACTTTCAATTTTGATATGCGGTGCAGACAATCAATCAATGCGGTCCATATGGATATGCGAAAAAAATGGCGGATAGTCGTGAATTATGCGGCTTTCTATTTGGATATACGATTCGTTAATTATGCGGTTGAAGACTAGGCGAATCATCCCAGTTGTGCGATTATTATGGGATATGATATGGGAATCGCACAATCAACCCAATTGTGCGATTATTATGGGACATGTTATGCGAATCGCACAATGAACCTAATTGTGCGATTATTATGTTATATGTTATGCAAATTGCACAATCAACCGAATTGTGCGATTATTATGCGACATGTTATGCGAAACGCGCAATCAACTCAATTGTGCGATTATTATGGGACATGTGTGATGTGTGCAGGTCAACCCAATTCCGATTTCGACAATTGTACCTGGATTACGAACATTTACTTCTCATTGACCTCTTTGTCTTCGTCGCCTGAGTCACCATTGTGCGTGTTGGTTTGGTCATCATTATTGTCATCGTCACGAGAATGACCTGGTTGGTTCGAATAACCCGAGGTTTGATCATCAGTGCCCCGAGGATATCCAGTATGTGTAAATGAACTAGGGCCTGCTTGATGTGAATATAGGGCCTCGTGGGAAAATGCAGAACTACCAATACCAAAAGAACTCGGAAATACACCTTGGGACGCCATCATTTGCGTGAAGCTTTGTTGCACCGTCCCCGGAATCCCTACATTTACTCGCTTCTCTAACTCCACGTAAATGTTTGGATTTCTTTGTTCTTCAATCAGCTCTAAGATATCCTCACTGGATTCGATTTTCATCTTCACAACTCGTTCCTTTCCATCAAATACTGCCAACAATATGTACTCAAAATTACAAGGATCGACCTTCAATAATGCTTGAACACGAGAAACTACTTCAGAATACATTTGTCGGCCGTAATTTATTCTCATCAGCTCTGCCACTCCACCAAGATATGAACCCTCGCAAAATGAACCGCCAAAGTGCACCAATACTCTAACACGGTTGCTAGCCATTCAAATAAGTGAACAACAAAAAGAAATAAAAAAAGAAGAAACAGAAAAATACAACAGATGAATGGTGCAGGCGTTAAATTGTTAGAGATCGCTGTTTTTTTGCCTGCATGAAAAATGCAGAGACCAAATCCTCACTTGTGAAAAAGCAGTCAATTAATGAGGTGCGCAACTTATGCGAAAGATCTGCGAATGAATTCCGAATAGTCGTAAAATTGCCAGGTCGATATGGCCCTGCGAAAAAATGGCGCATAATCGTAAAAAAAATATGCTTTATTCGATTTGGTTATGCGATTCTTAAATATGCGAGCGAAAAAATGTCACATAATTGTCAATTATCCAGAGGATATATGAGAAATTGTTTCGCATATTAGTAAATTATGCGATTGACTTGGATATGCAATTACCAAAACATGCCCTATTCAACAAACTATGCGAATTAGATGCGAAATATTTTTGCAGTCATAAATTTGCAAGGTTGATATAGCCCTGCGATAAGAAGGCACATAATCATCGTAAATTATGCTGCAATCAATTTGTATATGCGATTATTAAAAATGCGAAAGATGTTCGCACATTTCTAAATTATGCGTTTGATGTGGATATGCGATTAGAAAAAACTGAAATATTTACGCATTGTCATAAATTATGCGGCCGATTGGATATGCGCTGGTTCATTTGGACATGCGAGTGTAATATCGCATAGCATTTCGTGAGTTTTGGGGTGCATAAGAAGTTACTTGATGGGGCAGTGTGTAAAAGAAAGAATAGATTTATAACGAGGTGAAAAAGATTTTGGCCCTTAGTTTTATCATGTTGCAATGTTAGTTGTATGGTGTTGCTATGTTAGCTTTATGTTGGTGCTAGGTTAGTTATATATCTCTGCTAGGTTAGTTTTATCATGT